CATACACCCTATAGATTTACACTTTTATTCCGGAAGTAGAAAAAGTCAGTCGCTTCCATCCAATATTATAAAGTAGGAAAATTTACTTCTTTTCCTTTTTTTTTAAATCTTTTTTAACGATAGTTGTTTATGCTCGTCATAAAAGATTCGGCCATGACGGAATATAATTTTCTTATTTGTTATTGTATTAATTAAATTAATCTGTTGAAATCTCTATAAAAGCGTACAATTTTAGTCTACTCGTCTAATCGTTTACTAATTTTCAAAATTCAAATCGAACTCAAACAAATGTTCAATTAACAGAAACCTAAATTTCATAGATATTAAATCTATCGGCAAGAGGCGTTGGCTTGTTTCGTTTAAGATATTTATTTAAAAAGAAACATTTTCTTACCTCGATAGCAAATCCATACGATACGAAGCTGTCTGCTTTGTAATTGTAGCGGTAGATATGCAGCGAAACGTGTAATGTGTTTTTGCTTTCACTTCACCTTACCGGGTGTGAGTAATAATTAAATTTGTATGCATGCATGTTATATGTGTGGTATGTTGGGTGGCCGCACTTACACTTTTAAATAACAATGACCTGTCTTTGTTTACGAAACATATATAATCGCTGGCGGCATTTGTTCAAATTTTTCTCTTGCCATTCTATTCAATTTGTTACTGAGAGCTATTCAACTCACGTGCAACTACCGTACACTGCCTTTCATTCATCAATCAGTCAATTTTGTTAACTGTATTAAATGTTTTCTACATAATTATTAAATCATCCATTAGCAATGGAGAATGTAATATTCACGCTAACTATACATGATCCCGTTTTGATAGATAATAAATGACCATCATATGCAATAAATAGGACGCATAAAACGCATTTAAATAAATACATTATTTACATATATTAGCTGGAATATCCTAAACCTTGATAAAGTAATGAGACATATGTTTTTCAAGCGGTTCGTTGTCACCATATTTCATTATGCGAGTTCATATTGATATTCGTTCTCATTATTTATAAATGTTTCTTCAAGTTCTTCAAATGTGTGCTCATAAATGTCAGGGTAATATAAATTGAAATTATATGCGCGTATTAACTGCTTCCTTTCCTTCCCCTCTCTCTCTCTCTCGCTCTCCTTCACTGTTTTCAATTGAATACTTTAAGGATTCGTTTGACGAGTGCTTAGTTTTACTTCAGTTAGTTTCACTACAAATTTTCATATTTAAGTCTTCTTATTTAATTCGCATTTAATAATATATAAGAAAATAATTCGTCATACGTCATGTCGTATTTTTTTTTTATAAAAGAATAATTTTTTTATTTTTTTATTTTTTTTTTGTGACACAAAGTTTCTTATATTTTATTTTTTTTATTATTAATTTAATTAACTTTCAAAGAAAAAGTTTTTAAGCAAACAGTTTCCGCTGAACAATTTTTATTTCTCTAATGATTTTTACAAGCGAGAAGAAATGAGAAGAAACTTTTAAAACTTTCCTTTAAGTTTGCAACTTAAAGGAAAATAATTCCTAGAACACTTTACAATACAAAAGCATTAATGTTTATCTATTATATATTCAGGCAATTATAAACATAATTTTCTTTGACATTATGAGATAATTAAATTTGAACTCATATTCGGTTTAAATAGATGGATAATTTAGTTGCATTTAATCGAAGAATCGTTTTTATGCCTAATACGCAATACTGCAGTTACGTTGCATTCAACAAGTTTTACATAACTATGTCATTAGCGATGTTACTTAACTTAAGCTCTGATATCACGTTTGAAGGATTAACGATGTTTTTTTTTTTTGGCAATTTACATAGCAAACGCAGTGTGGGATTAAGATATTGCACTCTACTGAAGCTAACATTTGCTACATGCCTTTGTGTAACTCTTACTTTTAACTCATTTCTTTCTAAGTAAATATTGTTATTATTATTATTATTATTAGTATTTTAAATTATAAGACTAAAGTCTTAAAGCGTTAACATCGAAGACTTTCGGCTTTGTTGAAAACTCTACCGCACTCTAAATAAAAAATGCTTTACATCTGCTTTACAAAATTATTTGCAAGTTTAATAAAACAATCCATAAGTGTTCCACGTCCACCTACAATAAAGAGCTAAATATACATATACATACACATACACATACACAATATATATGGATATATATGTATATTATATATCTATATAATTTACACTCAATTGAATTTCTGGTTGGCATGTGATTGGCTAATGTAAGCATTACCGGTGTTAAGTAGCGCAAGCATTAAACTTGTCATTCCTATCTTAATAGCAGTTACTGCGATATCCTGTGAGTCTGTTTGTCGATTCTTCTGTAGTTAATATTATCAAAGTTGGAACAATCGATGGAAGAAAAGATTTCAAATTGAATCCCCTCATCATTTTCATCTGTGAATCCGTCTATTTACCACTCGCTTACAAGAGTTATTATAAAAAAAATTTAAATGTATTTTCAAAAATATTTCAAATTCTTGCATTTATTATTATCTGTCATTCGGTTTATTTGACCGATGCTTTTTAAAAGTCTTCAAATACCAAATAAAGTTAAGCAAAGGGTTAAACGAAATTTCAAAAATTTCAATAATTGGAACCTAATGGTTCGAAGAAATCGAAATGTTTATAGAAAGCTAAAAAAATTTGCCTACATATCGCAATATGTTTATTATATGATCTGTAAATGTTTTATCAATCGAAATGTTACGACAATTTTAATAAATCCACTGACTTATTATGCATAAAAAAAATTCCCACGTGTTTATGAAAAGCAAAGGATACTCAATACTACGAAGTAAATAATTTTCGTCCTTACATATATGATTATAATGGGAAACCAAATCAAGTTTTTTTAAATCACTGTTAACCAAATTTTCATGCATTTTCAAATAATTCTTGCGCTACATATGGACATATATGGACACATAGATGTATGTAATATATGTACAACTAACCTCAACTGTGAAGAAGAAAATTGGATCCTAAAAAGAACAAGTTAAAAATTTGTATCCCACCTGGAGAAAAGCTTTCGATATTCAGCACCTCGCGTAAATAGAAATGTAAGGAGCAAAAGGAACCGTGACAGTTAGCTGGCTCCTGCTGTCTACTGCTGAACTTCGACACGTCTTTGTATTGTGTCAACTATAGATATAGATCGATGTCAGTTCTAGGAAATATATGAATTTGTACCTACCGAGTGGACTATTCAGAAATATGCTTCCCAGGTCCTATTAAACAAATTTTTCGTTAATCGACTCTTTTTTTTTTTTTGAAGACGGAACTTCCGGGAGATATATACGGTATGCTCGCAAAAGGGTGGTAGTCAATAAAAATCGGAGCAAGAGAGCTAGGAACAGCAATTCCCTACTCCCCAGCCCACCCTCTGTTGGTAGGTGACAACCCTTAGCGAAATAAACGTTTAGTTTGCCGGATTTCATCATATGAATGAGACTTCTACTATATATGTACATATACATACATACGCATATCTGTGCGTATGTGAATGCACATTCCTATATATATATATATATATATATAGTCGAAATCGAAAATTCCAAAACCATTATAAATTCATATATAAATGTACTGCCCACGTCCATGTAAATGAGCAACTCTTGCAAAGATTACTTCCGATTTATAGCGAATCTTAATCTAACCTTGCGTAAAAATATTTCTTAGGATCATCAACTGATTAAATGGTGTGCGTGTTTGATTGAGCCCTCTTGTACTTTCTTAATAATTTCAGATCAGTTCCTGATGGCCGTGAGCCAATTTTCAGGTCTGATTTGCAAAACCCTAACTTATACCTTCTAGGTTGCTCATCTAATTTTTTGAATGTTCGAGTTATTACGCCAGACGGACAATTGCACATATATGAACCAAAATTTTATATGGTTTAAGGACATAAAGAATTAATTTTTCATCACATATATCTGGATGTTTCAAGGGTACCATACATTGCTACTTAGTATAGCCGCTTGGACTTCCCTTGTTTAAGCCTAAAAATATTATAAATCATTTCACGTTGAACTTTTCCTGTTGCTACAAATCGATCTTCTGCTCGAAGTTCTCTTCTATAATGGGAGAAGTTTAAGCCTTAGACTTAAACTCGTTTGCTAGTACTTTAGGCCTACAAATATTGTAAACTATTTCTTTGATCTTTTCTGCTGTTTCTGATCCATCGGTGTTCTTCTCTATTGCGCCACGTGTCTAAGCCTTAGAATTAAATTCGTTTGTTATAACTATTTCACTTTGAATATTCTTCTCTATAATGTCATAAGTTTAAACCTTAGATTTAAGTTCGTTTGCTAGTAGTTTGCTAGACCTACAAATCTTCTAAACTATTTCAATTTGATCTTTTCTGCTGTTTCTGATCAATTTTCTGATGGATGTTCTTCGCTATAATGTCATAAGTTTAAGCCTTAGACTTAAGCTCGTTCGCGGGTACGTTAAGCCTTCAAAGGTTGTAAACTATTTCACAATTAACTTTTTTGTTGTTTCTGATTTATCTTCTGATCGATGTTCTTCTCTATAACGTTACATGTCTAAGTCTTAGAATTAAGTTCGTTTGGTAATTAGAAATTTTATAAACTATTTCACTTTGAATATTCTTCTCTATAAAGTCATAAGTTTAAGTCTTGGACATAAGTTCATTTGGTAGTTTTTTAAGCCTAAAGAAAAATATAGTAAAAAAGTTTTGAACTGTCTTGAACAGTGCACTTTCAACTTTGCTCTAACTGTCGATCGATGTTCTGCTCTGGAATGTCGGACTTTAAAGACTTTAATCTTAAAATGCTTCTTAAATCGGCTGAGCGCAGCGAGAAGAGAATAAATATATAAACAACTGAATAAATAAAGAAATTCTTTCCCGATTAAATGCGAATTATTTTCAAAAAGCTATGGCTGCAAATTTCAGATTTATGCATTAAAAATATTCTTTTTTATATATGCAGTGAAACTTTGAAAAAATACTCACCTTTTAAATCTCAAGAAGAAATGTAATTAACAAATAATTGTTGCTATCAATTTTAATAATATTAATAATATAAAAAAAGTTTCTTCAATTCTTCAAGTTTTTGACACGAATATATGGAAAAATGTTCTTCTGATTTTTTATTCAAAGTTAAAAATGAAAAATATGTTTTTTAACAAATTGTTTTTAGTTTCTTGGTCTATAACACACTTTATAAAATCTTATGGGTTCATATTGTTTGCACTTTTGTAATTTTTTTTTTTTTTTTTTTTTTATGTTAAAAATATTTTTTTTTCGGCGTTTTTTTTTTTTTTTGTACTTTGCCGATAACACTTTAATTAAAAATAAAATGCGACAAAATGTAAAAGACGTTTGCAAGTTTTCTTACACATTTCTTTATATAAAATATCAAATCGTTCATTTTCCGATAAGAGAGGAAAACTGAATAAGCTTATCGTGCAAACGGTAAGACATCATAAAATAATTCAAAAAAATATTGAATTTGTTTTTTATTAATATATTTAATAAAATAACTTGTATTTATATTGATTGTTGAAATTTTTAAATAATTTCTTCTTCTATTTTTTTTATTCTTTAGTTCCGTTTAACAAATCTTATTCCGACGATATCTCATATAAAACTCATATAAAATCACAGCACTTTCTTCTTAATATAGTAGAATGTATTTGTTTCGTTATTGTTTAACATTTTCAAATATTTCAAATACAATCCAATGAAAGGAATTTGTTGAGTAAATCTCTGTTTAAAAAAAAAGGAAAATAAAAAAAGTCCGAGTATCGAATGGAGAAGAAGTGTTGAGTTAGTTTAGCAGTCTATTGACTGCTTTAGGCCTTTCATATCATAAAATTTTAATTATCACTCTTTAATTTTGGTTCTCTCTTGAGAAAGTTTAGCTGATGTTAAGCGCGCAGACTCCTAACACACACATATATATATATATATATATATATCTCGATATTATCCACAAAAATATTCGCACAATTTCACTCATTTCAATTCATTTCACTGCAACAGCTGTTTTCCGCTTGTCTTAAATGCTGTTCAGCATGCTACGTATGGAGCACGAGTTTCCCACATTGTTGTTACAAAGAAAAAAAAATCATTTATCTTCATTTTCGTTTACACATACATACCTTTATGAAATCGTAAGAGCATTTGATAAGCAACTTAGATCATGATTAAAGTAAATGCAAAAAAAACAACAATTTTAGAGAAAAAGCAATAAAAAATAAAAAATAAATAAAATAATAATAATATAGAAAACAAATGCGGCTGTTTTTGTACCTGTGTGATATTTAACACGCCTTAGACATCATAATATTTGCCTTTAATTTTCTAAAGCAATTTCAAATTTCATTTTATTTTATTCTATTGTCATTCAATTTTTATTGATACGCTTAAAAATTAAGTTGATGCGTATTTGTGGTAGGCTATATATCTGCATTTTGATTTTAATTTCTTTTACGATTTTCTTTAGCTTCATTGACCTGCTCGTCGAAAATAAATAAATTTTCATCAACATCTGCGTTGCCCGCAAGCACGTGCTGTGCCTTTCATGAAC